AAGTTAATGAAATAATAGTTACAACTGTAATATATTTTAATATGATTTTATCAAAGCAATGAGGAGAAATAAACTTTGTATGTATCGTATTATAAAATGCATTACTTACTGTTTTCAAAGAATTTATAAATGACTATTCGAAAATCAAAATACATTCCTAATGATACAATGGATATGATCAGATACTAATTGGCAATGAACAGAACTTTGTAACTTACAATTTAGTTGCTGAAACTTAATGTTTCCGCAATGTGTGTAGCAATATTGTACGTACCGATACGCGTGTACTAATAATAAACAGTTAGCATTCTTTTCTCGAAATGCATGCTTCGATACAATTAGATGAAATTAAGTACTGTAACAGGCGATATTAACGGATACTTACCATATGCCTTTAAAACGATGTCTTGTAAGTTAATGATGATCATTGTTTAAGATGTTTCATATAGATTCTCTAATGAACACTTTTTTTTCTAGATCTCAGTCTCCCTGAGGAAGTATAAATACAATGGGCTCGCTCTAAATCATCGCAACAACGATTAAATCAATTAGAAACAGTGAACTTTTAGCGTTATTAGACAATTTTGGCGCCCCAATAACGTAGGATTATCCATTACACACTGATGGAGGTTTTTCGCCAATATAGATATCCCTTTCAGTCTTGGCTATTTCACTTTCCGTTCGTTACTCTCGACAGAAACGATCCGAGATTCCGATTGCAATGAATATTTCTGAAATCAACTCACAGATTTGTTTAAGCAAACGTTAATCATCTGAACGCAGCGCATCACAGAGAAGTGCAAAGGATGCGTGATACTTGAATGATAAAGTGTGTATCTCACCGCGTAAGTAGTTGCCTCTGAACATTGCTTGTTGTGCCATGAAGTGGCTATATATGACACAAGGCTGACTCTTTAATAATTTCACTAGACTTCCCTTTTACCACTAGAATGGAAATTTCAGGCATTTCCTTTTCAACGGAATCTCTGAAATCTGTGTTCGTTACGTGTATATTATATTTCTGTATATTCGTCTGTATTTATATTATATTATATTATATTCGATTCGTTACGTTTCGATTTACGGTTTTTGTATTTCATGCATTCGCATATGTTACACACACTGTTCATTTATTTTAGAGATAGCTCTGTCATAACAATAATGGCGACTCGACTCGTCACGTGATACGCGTTTCATTGGTCTATTTTGCTTCCAGCAGGAGTGTACCAACTTGGAGCAAATCGGAATCCATGTATCATAATAGGTAACGGGATTATACCATAAAATATCTCACAGGGACGAAACTTTTATCGGTACCTTTGATGTCTGTCTTACAAGGTATTCTTATAACATTGGAACTCGGATGTTTATGGAGACTAATTTACGGAGTACGTATAAAAGTTATGTGCAATGAACGTAGCTTCGGAACTCTGCAATATCGAGACAGAAATCTCGATTGAAAAAAGAGCCCTCTATAACTTTATGGTGACAACTGTAGCGCCATTTACATGTGGCTGCTCTGTTGGTAACTGACACGTTTGAATTCATTATTTTTCATTTAACGAAATTCAGTGAATATTCATTGGCTTAACGTATGACTCAACATTTATTATTATATTACTTATGCATTAGCCTTTTTATGCATTTAGAATACGAGAATACTTTGTTCAATGGGAAGTGAAAAATATCGCGCCATAGAATATTGTATCGTAGATAGTAATGCTGTCTTTTTTTTTGTATCGTTACGTAGGAGAAAGGAGTAGACCAACGAAACAATATTTAAAAGTGGCATTGCAACCGTTGTATTTACAAAATCATTGACAATGATCCGTGATTGGACGAACGCGAGAATGGCCGTTCTCGGTGGTTCAAATTTGAGTTACGAAGACGAGCTTCGTTTCAGATTTCTTTGAATCGCAGCTAAATGTGCTTGAAAAAAACATGTCGATTAATGTTACAGTCAACGGAAACCCTTTAAGCATAAAACGAGGAAGAATGGTGTTGTCCGATTTAGATCAGATTAAGAAAAATGAGCGAGACCGGCGTCGAAGGTTACGTTTGGAGCAGGTATACTTATTCCTTATAAATTATTTAAAAATTTCCTAGTAATACAAGGAAGTAATGGTTTGACGAATAGAAGAAGACTCTATGTTTGAAATAATATTAAATAATTATTTTATTCTAACAAAATCAATGTGCCATTAATGAACAATTCACTGCATCATTTGTATAGGTACGTCAACAGTCAAAAGAAATATCGGACAGACTTTTGGAACGTGTTAAGAATGTAACTAAGCAAGAGCAACAAAAATTGGAATGCAATGATATTTTGAACTCGAGAAATTCGTACAATAAAAAAATTATGGACATACAGGAGAAGTATCAGGAAGACATGGCGGATATTGGTCTAGCGCATCTGTCTGCATTGTTGGAACCTAATTACAATGCTATTGCTCAAGAAAAAGAAAGGAACGATAAGTTGACAGCATTAAAAAGAGGAAAAGAAGTAGCAAAACAGTTACACGAGAAACAACAAGTAAGACATTTATTTTATACGATTCCTTAGATTAGGAATCTCTATACATTATATTAGATTAAACTTTATTAAAGGATAAGTAAAATCTGTGTAGAAAGAATCTGTGCAACAACAGCAACACCAAAACCGTTTGCGTCAAGTAAGAGAATTAGAGAATCTAAGGTCCACAATGATAGCGAATCTTCCCCACTTGCCAGTGGAGACAGATATTACAGAGGAAGAAATTGACGAAGGAAATAAGCAACAAACATCTGCTACGAAGAAAACAAGGAAACAGTGTTTTAGAAAATCACCTGGGAAAATTATGAACTCTCATAAAAGGGTACAATGGTTTGGTATTAAGATAATACATATAAGCATCAAGAGTTGAATTATAAATCCTAGAATATTCTGTGCAAGTTAAAATTTGAGTACAAGTTGTATTTTACAGTGTGTCACAAGGGATTCACAGACACGTTCGCTTCATTTAAAATCAAAATTGCAAACATCAAAAGACAATTCAAACAAAGACCGTACGACTTTGCAAGAAAAATCTGTTAATATTGCAGCAGAAGAACAATCCACAGGGAAAACTACTGGTATTGAAACGAACACTGAACAAATTATTCCCGAATTCGAACGAACCGATAAAAATTCCGGAAAAGTGTCTGTTTCAACTGCCGCGCCGGTAGAAGTTGATAAAACATTGAAGTATATGGTTTTTTAACGAGAACATTTTAACAAGAATTTTTTGAAAAATAAAACTGAAATGGCTGTTATTGTAGATACAATCCACAAGATTATGTGCAATCAACTTCAGGATCGAACTCTAGCAATCAGAGCGATACTTCTAGTTCATTGAGCGACGATTGTTCTTGTCTGCCTACTAGTACTATGCAATCAAAGTGCACAAAACCACCGAAACCGAGAATTAATTCTGTAGCAAATGATAAAGTACAATTGTATGATCATAGTAAGCATCAAAGCAATGTATATAATAAACCAGTTGGTGTAGTTGAAAAGATACATGCATGGACAGAGGTTTGTAATTGTTAACGATGAATAGTGACTTTTTAGTGGGTAACGAATACTCTAATTTTCAATTGTATAAAGATTAATTGTTCCATGTAACTGCGTTCTTTATTGTTACAATGTATTTTTCTAGCCGAGTGCAATGGATCTAGCCCAAGAAACTGAAAAAGCTGAAGCGGTTAAGGCCCATTTAACGGAAAGTCGGAAAGCTACCACTCAGAAACGCGGCAAAGACGCGGTGTTGAGAGAAAAGGTGCGACGCGATTACCAGGCGCTAGTGCAGAATTTACATCATCTCACAGTGGAAGAGCGTAAATTAAAAGCTAATCAAACTAAATGTTACCAGGTACTTGTTCTATTTCAAAATTATTTCTTCGCTTCCATTGTTCGTAGTCGGATCATCGAGTTATGCTTATGTTCTATCAGAAAGATGCACACGTGCTACAAGAACGGAGAAAGATATTAAGAGATCAGCATAAAAAGAAGCTAAACCGTGCGCTGGAAACATTATTGAACGGAGAATGCTTGGAACAATGTCCGTCGTATCCTATGGAGAGACAAATCACTCTTACGCCTAGGGAACAAGGTAAAAATGACATGACTGCTGTGTGGGAAGATCATTGTTGCTCCAACGAGTACGCGGACAACAAAAGTGTACAAAGCAGAAATAAGGAAAACGAGGCTTCGCGAGAGGAACAAATATTAGATATGTTGAAGAAGGTCGAAAAGCAGAAACAACTGTTATTGAAAGAATTCGGGGCAGAATTACCAAGCGACATATTCAACGCAACCATGAAGCCTTTGTTCGAAAAGGATAAATCGGTTCAAGCACAGCCAACTGTGTGCCGGGATACATCGGTCCAAACACCTTCGTCGCCGGAAGTCAAAGTAATAAACGTACCTTGTCGCAACGAGAGTAGCCAGAAAGACAAGACGGAAACGAAGGAGAGCTCCGTGAAGAAAGTCGAAATCGCGGTGCAAACTGTCATAGGAATGGGACACGATGTAGCTCAAGATAAAAGTATTCAAGTGGAAATGGTGCAAGAGAAGGGAGGTGGTCGCAAGACAACCGAGGATGAAGTTGACAGACCTACCAAACACTATCCGCTCGAACCAAAAATTACAGTGATCACACCGGAAGCGGACAGCAGCATGTCGACGAGTTCCTTCGTAACGAATATGACCAACGACACCGGCAAGCAGTATTCAGAGACAACTCGCAAGAAACCGAAGCATAAAAAGATGACTCCAAGGAGAGAGAAACAAAGATCAGTCTTAGCCGGTGTGAACAAAACACCAACTTCCACGAGAAGGCTTCCGAAGAGCTTATCAAGATCACGAATCGGGGGCCTGAGGAAGTCTACTTGTACAGCGACGAATCCGCCCAGCAGGAAAATCAAAATATACGTGAACAAGACCGGATTCAATATCGAGGTGAACCCATCTCAGACTCCAGAAGTGACCGTGGACGCGAGCACCCAGAGTTCCCAGATATTCTCCGCGGAGGTTCAAGATCGGTCTACCGCTAAATCGTACACCGTTCAATCGAAATCAACGCGAATTAAAATGAGAGACGTGTCGGACTCGTCGACGTCTTTCGCCAGTTTGCCGCCCGTCAAACCGAGGAACATTCTGGAGGCGCTGAGCAACAACATGTCCATTCTCGAAATGCTGGATTCCTCGGCGAACGAAAGCATGCGACTGTTGAGGAAAGACGTCAGTCCGGTGTCGACGCCGGAAACTCCTTCGCCGCGTACCATGAGGATGCCCTCGAACAAACCTCACGTTAGTAAACTCAGTAGAATGCTTAGGTACACGTCGACGGATTCGCAGGTGAACGACAACAGTGTACTGTCGTCTACGAGGAACGATCATTCGACGACGTCAGATTCGTCTGGTTATCAACAGAAAGAACAACGGTCGGCCGAGCAAACGAGGAAATCGTCAGGACGAGAGGCTTCTTCGCGGGACGTCTGCTCGTGTAAGAATCCGGAATGCAAACTGATGCACTTAAAACTCGACGATATTCATAGTTACGCGTTGAAACACTGCCCCGAGATACTGCAAAAGTACGAGGATCTTCAGGCTATGCGCACGGAGAGGATCATATCATTGACCAATCTCATCGAGAGGGTTCGGAACGAACAGAAAGGTGTAACAGCTTGTTTTTTTAACACGTTAAGCGCTATGTCAGTCACTGGTGACTGACGCTTCCGAACGACTAAAAACCAATCATAACATACAAGACAACCGATGTGAAATAAAAATGTTCAACAACGCAACTAAGTTGATAATAGTATAACGCAAACGTTGCAACGCCGAACAATTCATAATTCTTCCTGCTTTTCTTTGCTACAAAAGACAAACTCTATGGGAAAACGCTTAAGATTTTCGTGGCGCTTAACGTGTTAAACGAATTCAAATGGGAACGCGAAGAGAGTTAATACTTTTATCGTTCGTTTCAGGTATGGAACTGTCGATAATCAGCGCGGGCGACGAGACCTCTTTAATGCAGCTGCCGCCAACGAAAGCGAAGAAGAACGATCTGCAAAGTGTTCGCGACCTCGTTGAGAATATAGAGGCTATTCACAGCCAACTCGCGAGAACGCTCGCCGAGTCGCAGAACATTGTCAAGAGTAAAACGGTCGCCACGCAGGACTCCGATCACGCGCAAGAAACGGACGTTGAAACTCAGACGAACCAGAATCTGCGGGAAGTCGCGAGTTCCTACCTGTCGGAAATGGAAACGCAGCAGACCAAAGTCAGGCCGAAAATCATCAGCGACGAGAGAGTCAGCGTACAGCTCGACAAATACAAGATACAGCACAGGCCTAAGAGGTTGGAGGCGACAACGAAAGACCACGATACGCGGCTTACTTCGAAACTACACGACGAGGAAATGATAAAAACGCTGTCGCAAGAAATTTTGGAGCAGAGTAAAGGTTTCGCCAACAATCTAGCGACGAAAGAGTACACCGGTTCAACGACGGATCAGAGGCTTCAAACGGACGTCGTCGACTGCAGAAATGATCCTCCTTCGAGCGCAACGAAGAATATAGCCACGCAAAAGCATTTCAGTAAAGAGGTAATTTATACTTGCGATTAAGAATAATATCATTGCAATTGCGAGTATGATCGACCGATGGTTTTCCAGGTGAAAAGAACGGATTTTGTTCCGTTACTCGCAGACATTCCAAAAGTAACGAGAACCGTGGACAGCTCTATATTCATCAATGGGAGAAACAAACCACCTGTGAGCTTGCTCAGCGGACCATACAGGTAAGCAAAGAGTTCTTCTGTTACGTGTATCTCGCTTTAAACTGAAATTTATCATTTCCCGTGGAAATTTGCCTGTCAGGACTGAAATCGAATCATCGGGTCACGAGCTGTCGACGATCATCGAATTCGACACACCGGACACTGTGAACAAAAGTCAGGGTAACGTTAAATCTCCAGCCTCGGTGAAGAAAATCGGAGAAACGCGAATGACTAGAAACACCGTGATAGTTCAGCCATCGGAGCACGTGGCTGTTTCCGTTAATACGCATGATCAGCAGCAGTCCGAGAAGCTGTACGATCCTACGGTTTCGAAGCTGTCGGAGGCAATGAAATATAAGGCAGTAAGTAGCGCGACACGATTCGAGGTGCCAAAGGTGTTCAAAGTTATTTCCCCGCGAACGGAAGGCAAAGAAACGACAAACAAGAAGCTGCAATGCGACACGGAAAACGAAGGGTTGTCGTTGAAAGAAGAAACACAGCCTCTGCCTTCGACGAGCAACAACGCGAACGAGGAGAATAAAAATAATAAGGACAAAATAATGTCTACAAGCTCGAACAGTTTCTCCGGGCTGTCCGGGATATCTCAGATAGCGAGTACACCGTCGTCCGACATATTGAAGTATGCGTCGTCCCCGGAAGAAATGGAAATAGCCCTGAAGAAGCTCGGCCTGGGTTGGGCGATAACGACTTTGAAGAAAACACGCGAAGCCAGCGCGTTGAGCTCGTCGTCTAATTCCGACGAACGGACACCGATGAACACTGGCAAAAGGATATCGCCTGTTAAGAAACAATTTGATAATAATTATGGGCTACCGGACTTCAGCGACGTGTCCTCGATATCCGTGAAAGAAGCCAGCAAGAGTACAGAACACGCGGTGCTCCTGAACAAAGGGAGAACCTCTACGCCGTTGCAATCGAAATTGCAGAATTCAAATTGCAATAGCGCGACGACCAGCACCAGCAGCACGAACGTCTCCGAAAATTTACAGGAGCCCAGCGAAGTTCTGATAATTCCTGATATAGCTCTTACCAGCTCGAAATCGAATATTAAGAAGCTAGAGAATCTTTAATAGATATTTTGACTTATTGGTTTACATTACAGAATTTATATTGACAAAACATGCGTGTAATATATTAAGAAAAATCTTTATTCCGAGTAAGTACGTTAATGTTCAACATTCAATTAAATATGAACGATATTTGTATGTATAGTGTTTTCACTTTTAGTATGTAGCTGTGGCGTATAAGATACAAATGTTAAATCTTGGGCATTTTACACTCGAAATTCGTCGGTGTGCCCTGATCACGCGAGAAGAGGATCGGCTCTAATTCTCATACGTATAAAAATGCTGAAATGTTTGAAAGTAATAATTATTTATTAGAAAGTTTCACTATATTATCTGATTTTTCAATGTGAAAAATTGCATTTGTTCGGCGTTCCTTCATATTAACTTGACGTGCAAATCAATGTTGCTAGTAAAGGTGTACACGTACTGCAATATTGATAGTTTTAATGCTGATATTTAGTAGAACTATATTTTAAAGATTGTATATTTTATTTGGACATGAGAATTTGATACTAGTAGATGGTTAACGATTCATTCTTAGAAATTGACGACACCGAAGTTAAAAAAATAAGTAATCATCGGTTGAACATTTTTTTATAACTAGATAACGATATAATTAATAATAACCTTTGACCTTTTATCGAATCATTTTAATAGGGGAACAAGTTTTCCATCCACTCTATCACTTGTTATTCTTTGTGTATATATATATACATAGTCGAATGAATTAAAAATAAACTGTTTATAAAATTTTCTGCGTTATTTTTATTAATAATTTTTACAAATATGCATCGGTAAGTGTACACATTTACTGCATGTTTTCATTATAATGTATACATAAATCAGCACAACATTATTACCATTCCAGATGCACACCAGAGAAATTTTATGTATAACAACTTTTTGTACTTTTTTTTTCTAACTATAAAGTTTGAGACAAACTTTTAATGATCAATGCAATTGTTCTTTTTATTATTAATGTATTCATTCTTCCATTAATCTTAAGAGTGTGATAATTTATCCACACTCGTTAAAAGTATTCAATAAATTTATTGAACATTGTCTTCTATCAAATGATTTATATATATATATATATATTATTTATATAATATATATTATTTATATAATATATATATATATTAACTATACATACACATATGTAAGCGTAAGTCTCTTACCAGGAGTGTATCGATAGTTTCTACAAAATATTCATGAAATCTATGTTATCTGATCATCATAATTATGAAATGCTATACATATCAAAAATGACTTTTAACATTACACACTTAATGAGCATATTTTTCAAACGCAGAAGTCCTTAAACTCATTACTGCATTGTATCGATACCCATAGAAAAATGTTGCTATTACAGAATAAAATGGGTTCAAAGAAAAAGAGAAAAAATTATTGATATTTATACAAAATTCGTTAACTACTTACGAATAATAAATACATTTAAAGTTTCGAACGATTTTGCTAACATTTGTAATTTACCTCTGAATATTTTAAATGCTTACATGCACATCGTACACTTTGTACGATAAATTATAAAGTAGGCTCCATCGTGAGGGCAATATTTGAAGTGTTAATATAGACAATTTGACTTATAAATATTCATTCAAATTAAATAACAACGTTCAACTCCATACATCACTCGAATAACGTTTCTGTGAGTCCATCTTCTTAATATACGTAGCTGCATCGAGTTCCGCCATCTTTCCTTTCTCCATTACAACTTTCAATAATATATTATGCACGTCCCGCGCCATGTTCTTAGCATCCCTAATGAAACACGATAAATTCGTTGAAATTATACATCGTAAAAGTAAGAAGAGTGTGGAAATATTAAGCATCAATATATGAAATATTAACTTATGGAGTGCAAACGGTTAAAAAATGGGGAATTTCATACTAACCCACAAACATAGATATGTCCATTTTGTTCGCCGATGACTCTCCATAATTCGTCTTTATTTTTCTCCAATAAATGTGTAACGTACACTTTGTGACCTTGCTCTCTGCTGAACGCAGTATGCAACGTTAGAGTACCATTTTTTACATATTCTTCTAGTTCGTTTTTGTATAGGAAATCCTCGTCTCGGTTTCTACATCCAAAGTATAAAATAGTATCACCGACTTCTTTACCTGAAGAGAAAACAGATTTTTATTTATTTGAGAATTACTTGAAACTGAATCTTATTATTATGTTTATTAAACGTGTTGTGTGTATATATATACCTTCTCGTTTAGCAAGATCACGTTCTTGAATGAATGCTCTGAACGGCGCTATACCAGTACCTGGCCCGACCATCACAACAGGCGTGGACACTTTAGTTGGCAAACGGAACTGAGACTTTCGTACAAAAATGGGGACATAGCATGGTGGATCCGATGGGTGTTTCTCCTTTAACCAGCTAGTTGTCACACCTTTGTTAATCCTGCCAGTTGGAGTTTTATATTCTATCACAACCGCGGTGATGTGAATCGACGTCGGATGCAGCTAAACAAAACATTCATTGACAAATTATTCATACAATTTTATGGTTATTTCCATAATATTTTAATAATAGATAATCATGTAAGGAGTAATACGAATATTGTTTTAAATAACCATATGTTACCTTTGGCGATGAGGAAATTGAATAATAACGACATTGCAATCTTGGCAGAAGTTCACACAAATGATCCAACGGCGCCTTTAAACTAGGAATATCTTCTAAAATATGTACTATATTTCGATTGTCTTGAACTATCCATTGTTGATAAGCAGCTTTGCCTTCTGCGCTGGTCGAAGCCATTAACTTCAATTTTTCTTTATCTTGTGGATCACTGCAATACTCCGCTAACTCTTTGAGAATATGAGTGCGTGGGTTGCCAGTGATATCCAAGTAATGCGTTAAAGCAGTCCTGTAAGAACAAGGACATGGGAACGGATGTTTCTTCGTAGATTCCTCTGTAACATAGACGACAGATCGTTTAAAGGTATCAGATAAGTTAATGTTATATATTATTTATTTTTTTCTTTTAATTTACCATCTGTATTTGTTAGCGTAAATATAGTGTCCAAGTCCACGCCGCATTTTTCTCCAATTTTGTTTACTAATTCTGTGTTATTTACAGGATACACTGCTAAATGATCACCAGCTTCATACCGCATCTTTGATCCTTCAATGTCAAACTCTATGTGCATACAAGACCTCTCTGATTTTGGACCATGAAGCTCCTGATTAGCTTTTACTGGTGCCAGATAAGGATTCTTCGCGTCGTACGGTCTACAAGAGAAATAAAATAAATGTGCATACTGCGGAAATGTTGTATTTAGATTAACTCGTGTTGCAATAACGTACGCTCTTTGATTCTTAAATGAATGAAGACGAGCTATTTCACCAGTGTAGATACGTTCAATGGGCAAATCAGCGTGCTCGGTAAGCTGATACTGGCGAATACTGACATCTTCACCTGCACCTTCGATTCCGAAGAAGTCACAGACTGCAGGCCAAAACTTGTCTTTCCATGTGATGAAATCGTCTTCTATGCTAGAATGGTAAATGATTTGAATATTAGAATTTGTTCAACATTGTATATTTCAATGGAAACTACTTAAAAACAACTTACTTCGCATCGTCATCTCCCAGACCAAGTTCATAAACACGAGTAGCACCAAGTTGCTCTAATCTATGATCAACGTATAATGCTACTTCATTGTAATGTTCGTATGTCTTATTTCCTAGTCCGAACACCTGCAAAATAAAATAGATGAATAGAATATTAACAGCGGTAAGTAATCACTGCAATTTCATATAATTGCGGTGTAACTATTAATTATTAACATTATTAATAAAGTTAATATCCCAAGCACTACATAAAAGATAAAGATTTTGGAAAACACAATAATAATAATAATTTATACACACTATTTATCAATGAAGAATACAGCAAAGCCTTCAAATTATTCTAATTGTATATTGAATAAATAAGAATAAAAATAAATTTAATGGATTTAGACAATAAGAATAAAGGAATCATGCAAATCATTAATATTATCAAACTCTATGTATGCTAAGCATTGGTCTATATAATTTTAAATTATTCTTTTCTAATATTCTTTACAATATTGTGCTGTTGTATCTTGGCATGAAAATAATTACAATATTCAAAGAATAAAATGAATAATAAATAAGAAAATAATAATAAATAAATAAATGACAATAACAATAGGTTGAGTTAAATGGAAAATTATTAAAATGAGTGCAACACTGATCACACGAAAAAGCACTCTACAAGTACCTTAAATGTTGGCGGGAAAAATAATGTTGCAAACTGCCGATGGGTAGCGCTATCGTACCTATAACGTTTGATCACAACTCGTAAAAGTTTATCGAATTTATTTAAGTTCATTATTAAAATACTCTTAAAACTGATTTCTGCTCAAGTTTAATCGAGTAACTATTATTATTATTGTATACAATATGGTAATTATGTAGGCATTTCTCAGAAAGAACACATGCGATAAATGTCGATGACTATGATGCAACTGTACACGCGTGTATGAACGATACGAGTGGCTTACGTAATGTTCATTATTCGTACAATTGAAACCGTACGCAATGGAAATCTTTGTATTTCAAAATTCAAATATTTACGAACAAGGAAATTTTAACGGTTAACGTACTGTAAGAGAATTTCAATTTAAATGAGTAAGTTACCATACTATGTTAACAAAATTGTTTGGATTCAATTGAAATGAATTTCTGAAAATTTTGCAACAAATTTTTGGAAATCCGAATGAACATCTACAGAACACGTTTCCAATAAAATTCCATTGAATTAAATGAAATTTAATTAAATTCTACATTGTTCACGATCGAATGAAATGAAATTTATGATTCTGTATTATATTTATAAGCATTATCTTTTAGATTGTAACGAATAAAAAGTGATATCAATACGTACAGCATAATTTAATCCATCCAGATTAGCATCACCATTCTTTAACCAATCTACGAATTCCATAGCATTATCTGTAGGGTCACCTTCTCCGTACGTAGCTAAACAAAATACTGCCAAGCTATTTGGAATTGATTTAAGATGTATTAGCTCCTCCTGTTACAATGAATTATAATTATTACAAATTATAATATAAACTTATGAAATGTGATATGCAGGTAAAAAGATTTTAAACATTTTTCTATTGATTCTAATCATTAGTATTACTCGGTTACGTATCCAGAGTACTTTTAATTCCACATTACAGTAAATTCATTTGAGAAATCTCTATTTCTACCGTTAGATCTATTAATTTATCTATTGTCTTATTGTTCAGATAAAACTTGGCAGCGAAAAGGAACAGACTTTGAATGTTTACCATATCGCATTCCTCAGGATCAGCCACCATGCCTTTCATTTTATAACGGATACCCTCTTTAGCCAGCCGACCCGCGAATTCTTCACCAGTTCCGGTCTGACTACCATAGAATACGACTAGACTTCTGCCGGAAGTCTTTAATTTCTTAATGAACGAATTCTCCGACGGTGTCACCGATGGATACAGCGTTGGCCTTTAACAAACAATTCTCTGTCGAATCTTAAATGACAACAGGAATGTATGTCTACAACATAATGTGCTGCGTATGACCATTGTTGCAAGCGATTACAGTTGGGAGGTGACTCGACATCTAGTGGAACGATGCAGTGCCAAGTATCTTTCTAATTTACAGTTTTACTGAATAATAATGAATACCAGGGATTAAGAAGTAAAACAAGAGAACTGGGTGAGAGAAAAATGAAAACTGCTCGGTCAGCTGAATGTCCCTCAGCCTAGACATCAAGCGATTCTATCGGTATCTCTTCCTGGAGTATCTGGACTTACTGAATGGAGTAGGATTTGGTGGTGGACGTGTACTCGTCCTGCTTGTTGCGTCGCATCAACCACCATAACGCGGCCAGCAGGAGGGCGCTTAAAAGTATGATGTCGAGGGTGTTGAAGAGAGGTTCGTCGAGAACCTCAGCCTTGTCCTCGTTCTCCAGCACCGGAGAACCCGCCATTCTTATCGCCTTGGGTTGAGATGCGCTGGCGGCCTACGACAGACACACAACAGTGTCACTGAGAAATCGGTAAACAGAATCAGCGGAGTAAATACTTCAGCGTTGTACATCTTGCTTGCGCTGTCGTCACTCGTTCCAGATTACAAACAATATAATTACAAACGGCGCTGATAAACATTGTATTATCCCGTGCGGGGTGATGCAGAAAATCTGCTCGGATATAATTTTATCTTATCGTCCTTTCCAGCGCTTGCGGAAACGGGCGACGACATATGGATCACCATGTCATAATGACACGTTCAAAACGCCGATTATGATTAATCTATGTTTGCCAATGAAAAAGCAACGGTGCGATGCGGAAGAGAGCAACTTTGTTTTGATCGACGCACGAGATATCACCGGCGACGTTTGATCGATACAACAATTAGTAATTACATTCCCTAGCGCGTACTCCCTTCTACAAATCACGAGACCATTAACGAACATTCGAACCAGTTTCATATTTCAGGATGCATGCTGAATCAGTTTCATCGACTTCTCCAGACGATTTGTAAACAGTGTGGCAAGACTGTTAGGAATGCTGAGAACAATATTATTGGTATAGTTGACTTTTTTTCTTATCGCCTACTATACTACTAAATTGTCGACAGTGGCTGAAGCCAGCATTCGCAGACGAAAGGAGGAAGAGATCAAGACGACGAGTCTTCGTTGGACTCACAAAATCTCGACGCCTATAAAATTCGAATAAAATCATCGGAGAGCGTGAACACATCTGACCTCGGAGGGGTTGAAGTAATTTACAGTAAATTCGCGATTAAATTGAGCACGACCGGCTATCGCGCGGCTGTTGTCATTGCGGCTGTTACATCAGCGTGTACCGTCCTGTGTATCACGTAATTCCAATAGAAAAATCAATTGTTACGTAATCCCGTTGCACGCGGTAGAACTGCGATATAATTCCAGCAGCTGATCTACGTATCACCGTGGAACGCACAGAATGCTTTTCTACCGGTACACGGCACAACGCGATAGCGCGATAAAGGAATTGCCGCGCTCGCCAAAATACAATTGCGATTACGAGTGCCGCTATCGCGAGTGAACTTGTTTTCACGGGTTCATCGCGGCGCATTTCACCGACGGTTGTTCTTCGTTGTTGGAAATTAAAAGCCAATTTATCCGAGCCGTTCGCGACCGCAACCTTCGACAGCCGAATCAACGTGTCATGCAAATGTATTCTCGCGACAGTGTTCTGAACACCTCTATGCTAATGCGCTCTCGTAAACATATTACAAATACCCGTGGATACACGATAAATCATCGACCATCGGTGTGAAGGGTTCGTAAATTATTCTGCCTCGTTGAAGGAAAAACGTCGAACGAAGAATTGAAAGATGAAACCCTCGCGACGTTACCGTTCGGTAATCGTATTCCATACAGCGTCGGATTACCATATCGGGCCAATCAGTTCTACATATGTAACTCGATAATCTACAATTGAATCCGTTCAATCGATCAACTAAATTGATATCCGATGTATCGTTAACGAACATGTTATTCGGCGAAGATTGTCAATGGAAGCGTACGGTGTTAACTACAAGCTTCCCCATGAACTTTCATTCAACTTGGATTCGATTGAAAATATCGTGTTTTACCGAAGAGATAGTTTGCAATGGATAATTAGAGAGAATCAGAGTATCGAGAAACAAAGGAAATAAATGGGAGGCTACTTCTGAGAACGGATTAACTTTAAGCCCCGAAAATCGATGAGGCCGTCGACAGCCAATCGTTGCACGAGTTTCAGACTTAAATTCTACGGTTCGTTAATCAAATTGATTTCGCGTCACGCCGTATCAGAAGCACTATCGTTCAAGTCGCTATCGTTGGCCGCGTGTTATCGGCACGAGGACGGACTGTTAATTTCCAGTTCTCGTTGCTCTCTTTTCATTTGTATCACTGCCATTACGAACCGCCGCCTGATATTTGGATTCGGTGACTCACCAATACACTCTGTCCATACGAAACGAACGAAATGACTGGCAGAAATGATGCGGCGGCCTAACATTTTCATACCCGATTCTCTCGCGGGAAAGCGGTTGCATACGAGAGGAGCCTAATTAAGCGTCGCCTAACGAACAGTCCTATCGAACGGCGTACACGCTACAACTACCGAGCGAATACAATGATTTTTCATTTTCAATTCATCGTTTCGAATCTCTGGTCGATACTAGAACCTTCTGAATTGAAATATTTGTAAAATAACCATTTTCAAACCGGTACGTTGCATTCGCTTGGTAGTTCTAGTAAGTTCCAGTAGTTAACAGGCTAAAAAATATCTCTTCTAATCTATTTCTAATCCAGAACCAGACTAGAACTTCCTAAATTCAAATAACTATAAACACAACCATCTTTAAATGGGTATGTTCCATTCGCTTGGTAGTTCTAGTAAGTTCCAGTAGTTAACAGACTAAAAATTATCTCTTCTAATTTATTTCTAATCCAGAACCAGACTAGAACATCCTAAATTCAAATAACTATAAAAACAACCATCTTCGAATGGGTATGTTCCATTCGCTTGGTAGTTCTAGTAAGTTCTAATAGTTGACAGACTAAAGAATATCTCTTCTAATTCTAATCCAATTACAATCCATAGTTCCATTGTTCTCCTAAGCGAGAGGCTCGCCGATTCTATCGAGAAAGTCCTCCTCTTAAAGAAAAGCAAACGGAAAAAATATAAAAGCGTCGGTTCACTGAGTGACACGAGAATCTATTGTCGAAGAAGAATAAATTACTTTCGAGGTCCTGAGACTCGAGACAAGTACTCGGGGTACACAAGTACGTCACCGGTATTACTTCCCGCGCGTTCTTGTCGCCGCGAGGCTGACGCGTGGCGTCGCTCGAGCCGTCAATAGAAGCGTTAACACGTTAAGTGCAACGAAAATCTTAAGCGTTTTCCCATAGAGTTTGTCTTTTGTAGCAAAGAAAAGTAGGAATACTTATGAATTGTTTGGCGTTGCAACGTTCGCGTTACACTATTATCAACTTAGTTGCCTTATTAAACATTTTCATTTCACATCGGTTGTCTCGTATGTTACAAATGTGTTTTTAGTCATTCAGAAGCGTCAGTCACCAGTGGCTGACATGGCGCTTAACGTGTTAATCGTTCGATAAGGAACAATAGAAATCGAAACCGTTGCACTTGTTTTGTCGAAGCGTTACCCTCTCGTTAGCATCCGCGCGACGAAGATAAACGTATATCTAAAGTTAATGAATACCTACGACACTTACATTTATAATGAACTCATACAGGATGTCGCAGAACAATGTCAGAGCGCCGATAACAGAGACACGCGAATAATAATAATAAAAGGAACTCGACGACGTTTTATCGGTTCAGCGAAATTGTAATAACGTTCTTTTGCGACAGCTTGCGCCTAGATCGCAATTAACCAGTCAACCGTGACATTCGAAGTCTGAAAATCGAAATAAAAACCTAAAATGCAAACGAACACGTGTACATTTCGGAGAATAATTATAAATATAACCGACCGTGGAAAGAGCGAAGATTATTTGTAACGGGCTATACTCTGGTCAGCGTACACCGAGCATAATTACGATAACGCCGCGTACGAATGACAATGCGTACGGAATTAATGATTGTTTAAATGCGCCACGTGTCACGCGATAAGTGGATACAAACACATATATTATATCTCGCCTGCGTTCGGTATGTGTGTGTGTGTGTGTGTGTGTGTGTGTGTGTGTGTGCGCGCGTGCGTGCGTGTGTGGTGAAACCGCGCGTAAATTAACCCCTTCGCCTTGCAACGCGGTCCGCGTCACTCGAAGGCTACGCTATTTTCCGGTTATGAATATTAACGAATACTAAATATTAATATTACTATCAATATTACACGATAAACGCGCGCGCGCAGTGAAATGATGGAAATTCGAGTCTCTTCGTTTTTTCCCCTATCGTTCTCCGGCCAGAGCCGCCGCGGAAATAGCAAGACGAGAGATTAACGCGAAGACGCATATGCAAATGTGCCAGCGGGAACGTTAGAATGTACTTACGGGCACGGTTTCGCAAGCGAATGGTAATGAGCGTGCCCGTAGCGTGCCCGATAACGGCCGTTTGCGCGCGTACCCCGGGACGACGCTTTCTTCGAAGACTTTCGTTTTCGCGAGAAATCAGGAAACAACCGTAGAAACGCTCGTCGGGAATTCCGATCGCGATTAACCCTTTAGCATCGAGACGACACACTTCAACCCTTCGCGGACGGAGATTCTTTCGAGTGTACAAAATTCTCTGCAGAGTTCGCCAAGTTACACGCCGAATAGTTAAGTACTAGAAGATAAGGAAACTATGCACTGATTTCTGGCTATTCAAAGATGAAAGTTTGATGTCAGCAAAACGTCGACATTCATCCGCAAAGGGTTAATACCCTTGCATCGATGACAGAAATTTCCTCTTTTCTCAATAAATTCTTCACGCTAGATCGACGGAGTGAATTCTACCGATGAATTTTACATTATTCGGTAAATGTACGAATTGATTTTCATGAAAGTTATAGAAACGTATATCCTGATAGCCTCAAACCTCTGATCTCTAAAGTCTACGCGAATAATTTTTCTAAGAACAATAGAACTACAGTAAACGTCAGTAGCGTGAAGTAGTGTCGATCACGGTTCAGAGATCACGCGGATTCCGCGACGGCGGTGACCGATCGGTCACGATGATCGGCACGCGTGAATATTCCGAGATGATCGGAAGCGAAAACCCGTTTCTCCTTACCGGCAGATCCATTTGGTCGGCAGAGCGGAAGCGACTAGCGGAGCCAAAGGAGACGACGACGACAACGGTGGCTATCCGAAAGCGTTGCTGCCTGGACAGAGTATTCGCCGGTCGGGGGTATAGGTATACTGGCGTTCGACTGGCGAGTCGCCTTGCGAACTGTTCCGGCCCGAGTCTTTACGCACGAGGAGAGCACCGTCGCACATCGTCACAATGAGAACGGAAAACCGTCGAGTCATCGGCGTCGCCGCACGCGGCCCGCGATATATCCATAATCGTGAGACGCGTACGCACGTACATGGAATCGTGACTTATTCAATCGGCGACGACTCCTCGGCGATCGCGTGTACGACCGACGCGGCGACTCGCCGGGGTCGCGAACGGAGGAATGATAGAGCTGACGATGCGCGAGACTCGCCGCGTCGCCGGGACTATCTCCCACGGAGACACCGTGCACGACTCGCCACCCTTCTCGTCGGTTCCTTTGCCTTGTATCTTTCGAATCGGCTCGGTAATTATTTGGAAAAGCTCCTCGTTCCGGTCTCGATAGCGCTGCGGATCGGATCGTTCTCTTTCGTTTCCGTAGATCTAACGCGAAGGATTCGCGTGCTACGTGTAATGTTTCTAGTCTGAGAACACTCGAGTCGTTTTTCGAAATAATTACCTTATATTCTACCGCTCTTCCGTTTATGCTCCTATTCTTCTAGTCTCTTATTTATCTACTTCTTATCCTTCTATTCTTCGATTCTTCTATTTCTCTATCCGTCGAATCATCCTTTTCCTCATGCTCTCCAATATCAGTCATCCATTCCAGTCTTCCCCCCGTAAGGTCGCGCGGCAACGATCACAGGACTCTCTGGAATGATAGAACCTGATACAAAGTGAAGAGTAGAGAAACGCCGACACTCGTTGCCGAAGCGAGACCTTACGGGGGGAACTTGTTTCAAGCGCTTTCTTACTTCGACCTTTTCCATCGATCGTGTTCCTCGAGCGTTCCGCAGTCCTATGACAAAAGTAAACGGCACACAGCGATCATTCGAATTTTCGTTCTTTTCCTTCGACGGTTTATGCATGCGGCCGTCCCGATAGGAACGAAAAAATGGCATACAGAAAGACTTTGGTACGATGAATGAGTAAATACTGGTTTACCGCGTACAACCGGTTCCCATTGAAATCCTGCTATCTTATTTTCAGAGTATTACGTGAAATTGTAAATTTTCAAGCTCGCGGCTACGACGCATCTCTCCGCCTTTATCTAACGGAATGCAAACAATGGCATTGAACGTGTTAGGGGGATCTCGCGATTAAACGACGACGGGCCTGTAAATCAAATTTAAAGACTACCTTCGTTTCCCGTGTTAAACAATCTAGGTACTTGTCTACTTGTATACGTTACAAACAAATCGAACGTTTCACCGTGCTCCCAATTGATCCGGATTAAACGGGAATAATTGAGAATTATATCGTGGAAAATGGAGATGGCTAAAAAGGAACAGCTTTCCTTCCGTTGACGAAGAAACCTAAATGCTGCCAAGCGCTACCATGCGACGCTGCTATGCTGCAACTGTTAACCCCTTATCAACCCCTTGCCTTTAAAGAAAATTTAACGACAGGTACCACTCTTCTGTTGTCGAGAATATTTTGGAGCTAACGTAGACACGGTACCTAGAATTTCTTTCTTTTTCAAATAAATTATCAATGGCAAAGTAATTGTATTAGAATAATTCTAATTGATACAACGAACGAAATGATTTTCATTCTGATTGAAAAATCACAGAACTTTCAGGTGGGCCTTGATATACGATCGCGAAAAGATGATATGTATCTTTTTTCCAGTGAAAGCGCCTCGGCGTGATTTGCCAGCAGGACCAGAAATCTCAGCTCGACAGATGTATATATATCTTTCTCGACGAGAGAAAGTGAAAGGCGAAGAAGGAAAAATGTAAGTTTCAGGACGAAGAAATGCCATCCGCGCCGGTCACGTTTCTCTTTGCGCTGGCCGACCCACCTAAAAGCAAACTGGTTTGAAATTTGTGCGAACGAGATACCGATCGTAGATCGATTAAACGGGAAAAATCCTAACGAATCATTTTCCTCGCGGCGGCGGATTTATTTTGCAATCTGAAACACGACTTCGTCGTTTGAATATTTGCGAAGCGAACATTCCCAGACCAGTAAATTTCACTTGGTTGATAGATATCTAACGTTAAGGGACTCGACGCATATTTTTTCCAACTTTATCACTCTGATGTGATTCTAATCTGATTCTAACAATGACACTATCTACGATCGCTTTTCTTACAATATGTACACCGATACAGGATGTAATTAAAAATACAAGTAGACTGATAAGAGTACTAGGCATAAGATAACAATGCTGATTCGTCAAACAACCTGACAGCCTGTTTTCATTGTTTAATGAATTCAATTTACTTCCAGGTAACAAATCATCCGAGACAACTGTCGCCTTTCGATGATTCAATCCGTTTCCTCTGAATTGTTCTTTGTATTTACTACTTGAACCTCATCGTCATTTGTTCCAGTTAATTGAATAAATTATATTAATTTAAACTTGCTGTAACAATTAATTCAATAAATTATCAACTCTAACGATTAAATAAATAAATAATTACCTCGAAATAAATAATCGACTGACACAAAGGAAAGAAGCGAATAATGAGTGGAAAGAAATGCAGGTAAGTCCCGCGACCGATTGTAATTGCCACTGTCGCTTATAAATGTTTGATAGATGCGTTATATTACGTAGACCCCGATTACATCATGACAGCGTTTGACGGCTGAATTTTCAGAACGTGATATGGCGTGTCTTGTGTTCGTAATACGTCTACCACGCTATTTCAATTATGCAATATATGCGGCCATTAAATATGGAAAACGCCTCCACATGAATAATTCCAGGTGATATAACGGCAAGATGTTAAATTATCTAAAAATTTGTTAATTCATTCGCGCACAGCTAGGCAACATTGTATAATACGATATATCAAAGAATATAGGACGTCATTGAGTCAATAATTTTATGTATCTTACCCACTGGTATTCCCATTTATGTGTTTTTTATCATTTAAAGTTAACATGAATTTCAAATGAAACTCACAATCTAACTTCATTTGTAAATTATTAATGCTATATTAGGTCTGTGCTAGGAATACAGACTGTACGAGCAATGATATTCATAGACAATAGAGTTTTACAAAAATATACTTTTTAATCGCGCTGTTAGGTCAAGTTCAAGATATACTTATTATTTTGCTTTCTAATGTGTAACAATTTTTTTTATCTGTTTTCCTTCTATAATACAAGTTTGCAAATATATATGATGAACCTTATCATTTTCTTTGTACGTTTAATAAGTGATCAATATTTTGATGTATTGCTTATATAAGAGAATGACTGGGCAGTGATAAAGATAATTATAAACAAGATAATAGATTATACAAAGTATGCTAGATCCAAGGCAGTATTGTAGAATGATATAATAGAATTAAAATGTGATAATAGAAAATATAATGTTGCCTTAGCTTAAATCAGTTGAAAGAATTATAATTACTATTAATGTGAATATATTATAATAGAAA